CTCCCACAACTTCCGCTTCCGAAATTCAGCGGCAAAGTCTGGCAGTGGGACAGTTTCTGGGAATTGTTTAATGGAACAGTGCATACACTCCCGATTTCCAATTTACAGAAATTCAACTATCTTCGGAAATCACTCACGGGAGAAGCACGCGACTCCATATCCCGATTTCAAGTGACATCCGCGAACTATAACCTAGCGGTAGCGCATTTGAAGGAAAAGTATGGGAACGTTCAAAACATTGTAACCAACCTTCATCAACAGCTGGAACAGTGGAGTGCAAGAAGCTCACATCTCAAGGATCAGCGCAAGCTCTTTGATCAACTGTCGGCAATCACAGCGCAGTTGGAGAGCAAGGGCGAAAACTTAGGAAAGCCCATGGCTGTTATCAAAACTACTGTGCAAGTTCACAGAGAGCATTCAAAGGAGAACTCTTAGAGAAAAGGTCTCCTTGCCTCAACAAGAGACATGGACACTGCAGAAACTTATGACAACCTTGGACAAGGTTATAAAACAGGAAGAAGCCATCGAACAGTCCATGCCGAAAAGCAGGGAAAACCCCCCTGACACAAAAGAAACACCAAAAAGAATAGCAGGAGTGAGGAAAAGGCGCACTACATTCTGCTTTTATTGCGACAGCCAAGAGCATTGGTCAACTGAATGCACAAAAATAGCCAATCCAAAGGCACGTTTGGAATACCTGAAGAAGGCCAATCGGTGCATAGGATGCGGAGGTAAAAATCACGTTTTTGCCGAATGTAAAGGCAAAGGCTGTATGAAATGCGGTAAGAAGCATCATACATCAACCTGCTTTCAAACAAAGCAAACTACAGAAGGCACACCGCTGCCAAAACCATCAAACAACAAGAAGGAGGGCAGCAAGAAAACACCTCGAAGCGCAGCAAAATTGCGCATTCTACGAGGATGAGCACACTCACAGAGGATGAAGCTCCGAAATCTAACTGTGATGAAAATAGAAAACACCACTAAAGGTGAACCAGGAGAAATATTCCTGCTCACAGGAACATTACATACGGTGCATCCGCGCACACGACGTCCATTGAGATTACATGTACTTTTGGACACTGGCGCAGATCGTACCTTCATTGATGCTGATCTCGCCAAAGAGCTCGAGCTACCAGAGCATAATGTGATCACAATGAAGTTGTGCACATTCGGAGAAAAGCATCCGAAAGAAATCCAATGCATCGATACATATTTGCAAGTGTGGGACTCCACAGGAAAAGAACATAATCTACGAGTTTTCACACACGATGGACTCACGAGGAATTATCACAGAAGGCGCCTTGAAGAAAAGGACCTTCAGTTCATTCGTGATAATCATCTCATCCTGAAGTGCTCCAAAAGAAGGAGAAGCTCATTCTCCAAAGATACTCATAGGCTGTGACCAGCTATGGAACTTTATGAACTTCGAAGAACGAAACTTCATTTTACCATCTGGTCTTGTTCTAGTACCGACACGACTAGGTTATATGGTCACTGGGAAGCGCAACTGCAATAAAGAAGATGACCCCGGCCAACAGAGTTACTCAGTGCATACTGTTGAGTCATCTTATCAAACACTTGGTCAGTGGGAACACCATTGGACAATACAGCCTCATCAAGCAGAAAAGGAATTCTGCGGCCCTGAAAAGGAAGAAAAGGCTCTCATCAACGCTCAAGTCTTGGCAGACTTCAACAAATCCATCGAAAAGAAGAATAAAGGATATGTCGTTCGCCTCCCGCTCAAGGATGATCACAAGCGGTTACCCGACAACAGAGCTCTCGCACTTCATCGCCTCAGGAGCATTGTGCAAAAGTATAAGGATAAACCTGAGCTTTTACAGAAGTATCATGAAGTTTTCCAAGAGCAGCTCAACAAAAACGTTCTGGAGGTAGTAGATGAAAGTCAAGAAAAACCATACAAGCAACGGCACTATCTCCCGCATCAGCCTGTCATCACTCCAGACAAGGACACTACCAAATTCAGAGTGGTATTTGATGCATCCGCGCACTACCGAAACTGCCCTTCACTCAACGACGTTGTGCATCAAGGACCTACCATGCTCCCCAAACTGTTCGGTATACTTCTTCGCTTCCGCACAGGAAAGCACGTTCTCCTTTCGGATGTCGAAAAGGCATTTCTACAAGTACATCTACACAAGGACGACAGGGACTTTACCAGGTGTTTGTGGCTGAAAGACATAAGCAAACCAGTCACCGAGGACAATCTAAGAGTGTTCAGATT